CATCTTCATACAGGAGCAGGAGGAGGATGCATTGCCATGCAAATTATTCCAGATTGCCATAGTTATTCTCACTTGCCTGCAGTGTGTAGCCAGACAAGAAATCCTGAGCACTGGGACTTTTCTAGTTGGTTGGTTTTCATTACAGCACAGCCCTGCACAACTGTTTCCTGTAATACCCTGTTAAAACAGCATACCTTGCAGCTGCTAGCTACTATTTCAAAAGCAGACATCTGTGTAGCTACATGGATTGGCCACATAAAACAACTCCTGTTTTGGCCTTGAATGACTCTTAAAATTAAGGGAGCATTGAAGTGTCACAATTCAAATGCATGTAAATGATGCTGTGGTGCAGACATAGTGTTTTTCAAAGCTGATGGCTTCTAGAGCTAACCTGCCTGTTTCTCTCCAATCCATGTAACTACTTAGTTTGTTAACAAGTAGAAAAGCAAGTTATTTTGCAAAATACAGCATTGCTTGCTAATAGCAGAAACGTGTCTGTTCTGGCTCCAAAATTCTGAGTTTGTTCCTCTCCACACAGCAGTAGTGAGATCTTTTTTATCTACCTGTTCCTCTCCATGGAGCATCAAGTATAAAGCAGCCATCCTCTTATTATCTACTGATGAAGAATTAACTAAACATTTGTTTGACATCATAAAGGAGCTGAGGCATATTTATGCTTCCTGCTACAGGGTGGGGAAAGCAGGTAACACACAGAACAAGGGCCTGGAGCTGTTTGTTCAAGTGATGCTGGAAGATGCAATAAATGAAGTTACAGCAATACGCTTGCAAAACACTTCTGGGCCTGTGTTTTTTCCTCAGCTGGAGAACACTTTTCAGACTGTTGTCAGCCCCATGTTTCAGTTTCCCCATTGATAAAAATGTAAAACATCCTTCCCAGTATACCAAGCAGAACCCCAGTAGAAACACCAATAAATCAGATTAAGCTGTACAACTCCCTCATCATCTCTTGTAATGTTTTCACTGGGTGTTGGGCAGCAACCGTCAATTCTTTGCTTTTTTCTCTTGGCTTGCTTACCACTTCTAAAATAGTATGAGGCCAGTGTTGGGCTCCACGGGTTTGCTGGCATAGCTGTGTCAGCTTGGATTGTGAACTGTCCCCTCCTGGCCAAGGCTGCTGGGCTGGCAGCTCAGTGCAGGTGCAGCTCTGTCAGCAGAGGCACCTAAATTCAGAGATGGCATTCTCTCCTCTTTTCTGTCGACTGCCTGTATTGCCTTTGGAGAAAGTAGTGTATTTCCAGTCTGTTTGAAGTCATGGGTATGCTGCAGAAAAAGAAAATGCTGTGCTGACATCAGCTAAAATATTTATGTATGCGTGTGTTTGGAATAAAGTGGGAAGATTTTTTTCCTTTAGCTGAGTTGTACTTAGGGAAGCAGGCACTGATGAAACAGCAGCCCAAATAATTTTGAATTGTTTATCATAATTAATGCACATCAAAATTGGCACATGTAGCTTATAAAGAAGATGTTTCTGTCTGCGTTTGGTTTTCTGGATATTTTTTTTCTCGATTTCACATACAATGCTGTGAACTAGGATGACCTGATTTTTTACTGTCCAATATGAGAGATAGTATGAATCTTCTGCTAGGGGTTATAGCTGTTGACAGTGAGAGATCTTCTCATCTAAGGTGTCATCAGTAAAGAAGGTTAGTGGGACACTGGAAAGCTGCTTTCTTACCCAACTGTGTTCCCAGTCAGATACTAGGCTCTTGCTATTATTTCAGTAGATGGTGTAATCATGTTTCTCTGTATATTAGACAAAAATGGGTTCTGGAATCAGTCCATGTTGTTACCAAAGCAAAAGGTGTCTCTGCATTTGGTTTTCCCTCCAGTGGATTGCCCCCCCAGTCACAGCTCTGATAGCTAACAACCAGAAATATTTTGTGGTTTTGTGTGTTGCTACTTGTACAAAAAGATTTCTCTGGTTTGCAGAGATATGACCTTTGCATGCCCTTCAAGTTGCAATTTCTGAAAGACAGAAGAGATTTACTCATTGAAACTTGAAACGTGACACCTATGACTTACTTTTAACCCTTCAAGAAGAACTGAGTTTTAAGAAAAGATTTGCCCCATTCAGCAGATTTTTATGACACTCCATCCACATCAGTAGGTTGGAAAGATGAATGCATTGACTTGAATCATTTTGAGGTTATTGATTTGACAGAAAAGGTATTAGTTTAATGCTTATATTACTTTGTTTGCAATTCTAATTTTTTTTTCTGTTCGTTTCCCACAGAAACGTTCCAGAGGTCAAGTGCTGTTCGACAAAGTGTGTGAGCATCTGAACCTTTTGGAAAAAGACTACTTTGGGCTAACATACAGAGACACAGAAAACCAAAAGGTAACCCACAAAACTCCATCTGGCCTCTGGCATGTGAACATCAGAGCTTCCCAAGACACTCCCCAGACAGTGGCAAACAATCCAGAAGTTGGTTTTATCTTCCTTGCCACATTGTGACTCCATTTCTCAAGAGCATCCGCTGTATTTCCCTGGCTTCCCTCTGTTTTGGCTATTTATGGCATGAATGAAGTAGCTGCTTCTCTTTCTAGTTTGATTTATTCCTTTGCTGCCATAGATGAAAGTCAGATTTACATTCATAGATACAGTACTAAACATATAATACTAAAATATGAGTTAATAATACTGTGGTTGGGACACAGATAACCTGAGGATGATTGACTGTTCCTGCTAGCTGCTAAGATAAAGTAAAGCTAGAAGTCTTGACTTTCTTTATCTTAACATTACTGTTGATTTGACTAAAAGACATTAGTCTTCAGAAGCAGTTGGTAGCAATAGTGAATCACATTCTGCCTGTCTGCATTTCAGCTTTAGTATGAAATAAGCTATGTATTAATGGTGTCATAGATGATCTCACATGCAGGTCATATGTCTGTATTTTGTTTTGGACATGTTATGGTGAGAGATTATCAAATGAAAATTTAAATAAGCTGCATGATTTTGACCTTGTAAGATAAATATTTTGAAAGAAACCAGTACAAAGCTTCCTAGTAATATGTGCAGCACCCCAGCAGAGCTCACCAGGTAAAGGTGTTGTGTGCTTTGTATGACCTGAAAGGTCTTCCCTGAAGGAACTGTGTAGCTATTACTACTTTTTTAGCTGTTTATGTCTTGTGAGAACTATAGTTGTATTTTCTAGGTTTCCCTTTCTATTATATATAGTACAAAAGAAATCAGTCTTTTTGTCTCGCTTTTCCCCTTTCTTTACAGACCTCTTTGTTTCTGATTCAGAAAATCAGTTAAGCAGACATTTGGTCCATGCCAGTGCAAGATAACACTTTAGCATATGCTTAGTTTTGAGTTGTGATAAAAGCTAGGCAGATGTCCAAGTGCATTTCCAGATAGGTGTGCTTTCCTGTACTCAAAAGAGAAGAATGGATTCATTATTAGCAGGTGGATTAGAAGCACTACGCATTTATAGATCACCAGTTACTTTACAGAGCTAAACAGTTAAATGAATAACTACCTGTCATGACATTTATTGATCAATAACATGAATATTTTTAATGTCAACGTATTTAGCAAGTCACCTCCATCCTCTGCCACTTCCAGCCAGACAACATATGTGCCCATATTACATGTCATCTTTGTAAAAAGAAATCCTGATGCATCTTCAGTTTCTTGGTGCGTAGTGTCCTTTTGTGCTCAGCAATAGCTGGAGTTGTTCAGGCTCGTGTTTTGCACCACAAACTGGGTTTGGACAGCTGCAAACTGGTTATTTTTGTTGGGGAAAGATTGTTGTGTTCTGCTTGTTTGATATTTCTTTTAGTGTTTTGGGTTTTTTTGTTGGTTTTGTTTCTCTGATACATTTGTTTATCTTTCTTTGGAGAAAGTGGAACTTTCCGAGGGAAAGTGAACTTTTTGTCCTGGGCTGTGATGCATTTTAAATATTAATTTGAGCTCAAGGCAGCAGTGGCGCTAAGAGACCTTAAGCTGCTGTTCCTCCTCCTGAGGAATTGTGTCTTCCTCTTGGCATCCATGGAGTACTAACATATCACTGGGATAATTCCCCACCTCCTCGATGGGAGTTTTGTCTGGTATGGATGTGGTCAGAGGTGCTGTGCTTCTCCTCTAGTTTTTCCCAAAAAGCCCCTCGTGCCCATGCTGGGTTGCAAAACAGGTAGTGCCCTATGTTTATCCTCTGGCAAGGCTTTTCAGCCCTTCCAGGATTAGAAGGGCTGAAAACCTAACCAAATTTTAAAAAATCCCTTTATAACAAACTTGTCACAATTTTGTTTTCCTGGACGATACTCTGGAAAAAGATTTATGTGGGTTCGTTTTACCAATTTCTATTTTTACTTTATTATTTCAAACCATTCAACCCCTCAATGTCTGGGAAGGTTAATAAAAATCCTGCTTCTACCCAGGGCCACATCTTGAAAGTTAGTGTTATCCCTGCCTACTGCTGCTCCAAGAAGAAAGGGGTGGCAGACTGTCATGTGTTCTAGTGTGACTCATAGCACTGTTTTAAAAATAATATTTATTGTGCTTTCCTACTCAAATTGATAAAAGGAAACATTTTCTTTGCAGAATTGGTTGGACCCTGCCAAGGAAATCAAGAAGCAGATCCGAAGTAAGTTTGTTATAACTGCCCCCTTCTACATGTCTCCCCATGGCAACAAAGCCTATTTCACAGTCCTCTTTTGCATCCTCTCCCAAGTCTTTGGCAAAGGAATTACCTGCATCTTTTAGATATTTCACCCCATAATGAGTGTGAGCAGTTACTGAGGCTCATAACACATGAACTACTTGCATTGCTGGAAACAACTTGACATTTGCAGAGATGCAAAAACCTGAGGTTTGACATTAAGCAATGTAACCTTAGGGACTAGGCCATGTATATGAATTATTTCTTGTGTTACTGATATTTATATCATATCCAGGAACACTGCTCATGCCCCATACTGAAATTCTTCACTGATGCAAAGATAGCACCCTATCTAAAATATATTTCCTTTCTGCAGAAAGGAAGCTTGATCTTTGCTCCTGAAATGTTCACATTTGTTGGGTCAAGCCTGGCAAATGAATGCCTTCCCTCTCCAAGATTCACAGGGTTAACTTGTACTGGCTGGAAAATTTCCCCACTTCCTATGAGCAACCTCATCATTCCACCAGTATTATTTTCATTACAAGTACGTGATCTGCAATACAAAGTAATGAAAATTTGCCTTTTTTAAATCTTGTGAGAAGATGAATCTGGAGAGGAAGGTGCTTTAGACCTGAATGAATCGGGTTACACTGGTGGTCAGTACAAGTATATCAGCTCAGCTCCCCACCACAGATTTGAGATGCATTTAATATGTGCCCAACCATGAAACAGACAATGAAAGGTTGTGACAGTGTAAGATTAACCAGGGCAGAAGAGTCTCGTTCTGGACTTGAGGCAGTGGACAGTTGTATTTGCAGAAGATGACAGCAATAATTTGCTTGCTCCATACAATTCACCCCAGATGTTTAGAACAGGACAATGGTGGAAAAGTAGTGCTGTTACCCATTATGCTTTCCAAAACACACATATATAGTCCTGCTAAATGTTGTACAACACTCAGATATCTGTGATTCCACTGCAGACCACCAGGATTTCATCCCAGTGTTTGAGAAGGGGCCATGTGTGTGACCCTTGGTTCACACCCCATTAGTTATGACCCACTAACTTGTACAGTGTTAAGTTTTGTTAAACTCCTGTAAGTATGGAGTAAAGCCCTCTTAGTCTTAACCATCTGTGCTATATGATAGGCTTTATCATAGGTTTGATTTATTTTGTGTATGTCTTGGAATAGGTTTTTGGTTCTTGGCCCCTTCCATCTGTCATGGGACCAGGTGTCACCCACTGGCTCCATTCTCACCTTGGGGCTGGTCTACTCTCTGGTAGGACCGTGCCCTGTCCTCACTGCCAGCCAAATCTTCCTGCCACCAGCCTTTATGGCCCAAGAAAATGGAAACGTTCCTAAAATCAAGGACCCCAAAAGTCTTACCAAGAGTTGAAATCCTGATGGTAAATGTCAAAACTCTTCTTGTGCATTCATGGAATCATAGGGTGGTTTGTGTTGAAAGGGACCTTAAAGATCATCTAGTTCCAACCCCCATGCCATGGGCAGGGATACCTTCCTCTAGACCTGGTTGCTCAATGCCCCGTCCAACCTGACCTTGAGCATTTGAGCTTGTTTTCTCGGGTCTGTGGATGACCAAAGTGGATGGGGCTCTGCACAGGATGAATTTTCCCTGCTGTCTCTAAATAAATGCTCCCAAGGGCCGATTTTGGAGAACTGTAGAGTATTTCCAGGCAAGTAGACTTGTCCAGCATATAAGCTGTCTTACCAGAGAGTGCACCAAGTGCTTTTGGAGGTACATAGTTGCATGGTGCCCCTGAATTGAAGATCATGGGAAAACCCTATCCTGTCAGGTTTATAAGAAAGAGTCCTGTTTTTCACAGTGTACATGAGCTCTTCCTCAATACATGGCCAATGCAGACTTTTCAAGAAAGACCTATTTATTTCTAGTTAGATTTGTCCTTTGGCATCAATGCATTTCAGAAAATATAAGTGACATTACTTTGACTTTGGTTTCTGCACTACAGAAATACTATCATTTGTGTGGTAGAAGTAGATAAAAGAGGTATATGACACAACACAAGCCTCGGTGAAAGGTCTTGTTGCTGTAAAACCACTACGTTGCTTCTAAGAACACTGTGGTTTGGGGTTTTGTTACCACTTTTCATTTGCATTCAAGGCATGCACTAGTGTAACCTGTCCGTTTTTTCAGAATAGCTTTTATATTTACATACTATGTTCAGCTCTGTAAATCTAGCTATTCTTTCTTTACAACACTTAAAGCTAACACTCCAGAAATAACTTTGCCTGCTGTGGTGATGCAAACAAGTATCCATCCCATAAGTCACCTAAACTTACTGAAATAACTAAATAAGAATTCCCCAGTGCTATGTACTTTTTTTTCAGTCATGCTCTCTGTGTTTGTCCTTGCAGTTTTGTCTGGACAATAATTTATGTCTGCTGAAGACTGGAGCTATGTGCTGAGATAGCACTCTGAGAGGATGCTGTGAGCTGGTTTGGGCAGCTAGACCTCAGCACATCACCCTGCTCCAGAGCTCATTCATACCCTGGCTTGTGGTGTTTCCAGCACCACTGTGTTTTGGGTTATTGGTTTTTAAAGCTTGTTTGGGCTGTGTTTAGAGGTGATTACTTCCAGTAAACATTGTTTTCAGACTGAGGGATTTTTTTAGTGTTAGTAATAAATTGCTGCTCCCTTGGAGTCCTTGCTTCAGTGGAAATCTTACTAAATAAGAAAAGAGCTGTAAAATCTGATCTAATACAGTATCTTCAGAATCAATTGTGGAAAAAAAGAAACTAAATCCTGGTTTTATTAATAGGTTGGCTGGGGTGTCTTTAAGTCTGCTGGTGATCAAACAGCATGAACATCTCTGTTTGCACTTACAGTGTACTTTCAGTCAATCTGTGTTCTTTTCCAGGTGGTGCTTGGCAGTTTGCATTTAATGTGAAATTCTACCCTCCAGACCCTGCCCAGCTATCTGAAGATATTACCAGGTGTTTTAAACATTAAGTATCTTTCTAGAAGGGGCTCAAAATCTGTTCCTAGTAGTGTTTACACTCTAATTCAAGAAAAGTAATATTTTGTATTCTCATTGTATTTCTTTCTCCTATGAGCTTATGGAAAATATTTGACAGAAAAGACAGTGTGAACCAAGTCTGTCCTCTGAGCTATGAGGACTTTTGTGTAATCTAACCCTAAACCCCAGCTTTTTCAATATACATATTCCTGAGAATTGATTTTAATTTTCATGAAGGTGCCCGATGCCCATTTTTGCCAGTGGTAACAAGTTATTATTGTTAATAAAATCATAACTATGAAATGAAAGAAGTGAGATGATGTGATGGTTGAACCACCATACTGAATCCAAAACAGAGCACTGTACCAGCTACTAAGAAGAAATGAGCTCTTTCCCATCTGAAACCAGGATAGATGAGAATAAGCATGCATATAGACTTTGCATGTCATTTGACAAAGTAAGCAATTGATGTGCACAGATTAGAGAATGTGGTTGTAATGAATGGCTGCTCCCTGCTCTCCAAGTCACTTAGCTCTGCAACCTACATCTCTGCTCTCTGGTTTTGTATTCAGATTGCAACCACAGCCAAAAAAGTCCTTCACCTGGTGTCCTCCTTGGTATATGGCACAAAAACTTCTGAGCCATGACGAATTTTACACCATTAGCAAAATGTTCCCTAGGCCATTACAACATTTTGCAACCTGTGGATAATTTTAACCTTCACTGCTTTATGGACTTACTTGTTGCTTTTAAGGCAGTACAAAACCTTTAACCTAGATCAGAGGTCCCCTGTGGTAGGTACTGTGCAGAAAGGCAATGTGCCAAGAGTTCACACTTCAGCAGAGGTCTTCCAAAGGAAAGGATTGCTTTTTTTCCTCTTATCACTCTCAAATTTCCTCTGGGAATTCTGTGCCTTTGCCACCATACCAGAGCTCTTCACTTTTTTGTCTGCTTTCTTCTATCTGGTGAACCCTTGTGCTGCTTATCTCTGTGGTTTTAATAGCATTTACTGTTTCAATGTATTTTTGAGGAAGCATAACAGTTTGATAAAGAGACACCTTATGTTTTTTCAGTGAATTGGAGCTCAGCTACCCTTTAATGAACAGTATATGAGATTTTAAATTACTTTTTTCTCCTTAAAAGAATTTTCATGTAGGTATATATCTTAGTGATTTATCATAGAAATCTAATATGTTTAATGGGTATTTCTCCATCTAGGTCACTAAACAAATTAATAACCTATTATGAGATTTCTATACTGCTGTATAAAGATAAATTAGGTGTTGCTACTGATAAATTAGGCAAGGGCTTGTTTTTTTGTGGAGGTTTTGGTTGGGGGTTTGGTGGGGTTTTTTACAAAATTCTTATCATCCTTGTAAATGCCTGAAAAACTTTGTGCTTGGGAGCTGTCTGCAAATTAGTAGCAGAACTGAAGCCTCTTGTCAGTGCTCAGGCAGTGCTGTTTGGGGGGCAGTGGTGGAGGAGCACTGTCTAAGCCCCCTTGGTGCTTCATTGCAGGTACTACCTCTGCTTGCAGCTGAGAGATGACATCGTGTCAGGTCGGCTGCCCTGCTCGTTCGTCACACTGGCCCTGCTGGGCTCCTACACTGTGCAGTCGGAGCTCGGTGACTACGACCCGGACGAGTATGGCAGTGACTACATCAGCGAATTTCGCTTTGCACCGAACCACACTAAAGAGCTTGAGGACAAAGTGATTGAGCTGCACAAGAGCCACAGGTAAGCAGAGGGCATCAGTGTGAACTGTAGCCTGCTTCAGGTACTGTCCCGGTGCACAGAGTGGCTGAAGAGCAGCCAGGCAGAAAGGGACCTGGGAGTTTAGATAGACAGAAAACTGAACATGAGCCAGCAGTGTGCTCAGGTGGCCAAGAAGGCCAATGGCATCCTGGCCTGGATCAGGAACAGCGTGGTCAGCAGGACCAGGGAGGTGATTCTCCCCCTGTACTCGGTGCTGGTGAGGCCACACCTTGAATACTGTGCTCAGTTCTGGGCCCCTCAGTTCAGGAAGGATAT